CAACAATATATGTATGTACGTAAACGCTTAATGTAGCTTTGTATTGTTACGTAAAGCTGAAAATTCGAGAAACTTTCACACGCCTATAAATATAACCAAGGCGACGCGCCAAAAAAGAGTATATATTATTGGTTTGCTATAGTCAGTATGTTATATACTTTGGAAGCTATAACTGTGATTGTTATAACGCTTATCAATCGGAAAACTACAAATATCTGACCAGAAGCATTTACAAAGTTCGAACATCACAAATCATTTAACTTCAGTGGATTCTCATCAGACATTAATATCTATAAGAAAACATTATATAACTTCATGGTGGAAAACTCGGCGTGTGTGGCTGGTGAATAACGAAGGACAAAGCTAGCTAGCTCCCCGGTAAGAGAATCGTACCTACATCAACTCGTATTAACTCGCTCATCTTGAACCTTCCATAAGATGCCAAGGAAATTCCAGACTAGAAAGAAGGCTTTATATTGCTTGTAAGTTTGTAAATTTTTTGTATATAAATCATTGTGTACAGTAACTATTTGTAAAAACTGTTGCTATAAATTGTATTGTTGTTCGTATATTAAAACATATTTGTATTAAAAAAAAAGAAAACTGTGTGTATCAATCTTGTTGGCAAATATCATAAATTGGAGATATATCGGTATATATATATTTAAATACGAAATCCTAAGTACAATTTAACTACTAAATGTAAAGTATCCAGTTACCTCAGTTTCAGACCTTTCGAAGTTATAATATGTAACAGCTGCGGCTTCTGTAGAGACTTTGGTGCAGTAAGTGAGTTTCGAGAATCCGTTATTTGTTGTATACAATTTCAAAATTCTTCCCTTGGTGGATTTTTACGAGGGTATTGGCTTAAATGTGGGTTTTTGTGAACTACTCATGTATCCTAAGTAGTTTTTATTCATTTAAGGTCTTCCTATAGTCTTAAAATAGCTGGAGTTTATATGAATACTGCATTTTAAACTATTTATACGAATTAAAAAATATGTAACCAATTAGTGTTCTCATTTTGTCACTGTATCCTAGTATTTAAATAATTGCTTAAAGATAATAACTAGTTTTAAACTGTTAAGTAAATAAATGGGCATCAGTATCGGTGTCGCTTGTCCAGTTGTCCGTTTGAGTGTTTTAGAGCCCTTAGTTTGAGATCTTTGTGGTGTTCAAGTAGTCTCTCTTCAATTGGTCGCCTAGTTTCCCTCATGTAATTGATTTTAATTGAACACATGCTGCATGTCAGTTGATAAGCAAAATTATTATTTTTTAATCTGTACTTACCCTATTGAAGGCCAGATAGACATTGCACAGAGCACGATGGCAGTGGTAAATTATAATGTACAAGCTTTAAAGTTAATCCAGGGTAATGGAGGCATATTGGAAAAAAAGGGAGCTTTAAGATACCTCCCAACTGAATATTTTTCTTGTTTTTTTTTCTTCGAAGAAGATTTTCAATGGCCTTTTGTATTTCTTGAATTAGTTAGTTTTTTTTCTGTATCTATCGTAATGCACAACAGGCTTTTTAGCTTTGTTTTCATTTGACGCTAATCTTGTCGATTTTTTCATTTGACCAATAGCTATTCCTTATTTCACATTTGTGGAATGAAGAGAGATTGGTAGTTTAAAAAATTATTTCAGTGTTTGTTGGTTTAACAAACAGTTCTTATGCTAATTGACCTTGAAAAATGGTGATGGTTATATCGGGAAAGTTAAATACAACTAGTATCAAGTTGTGTTATAAAGTAAACTGGATTTTGTTTGTTTGTGCACGGAATTCAAGGAAACGTAGGAGCTTCTCTAAACTACTTGTCAATAATCTTAAAATATCATCAACATAGAACATCACCAATACCGGTTTTTGCACGGCTGTAAATCAGTGTAAGTATAGAATAACCTAATACAGAGGCAATTTTCTTACCCATAGTAACACAAGTAAGTTATATTTAATATGGTTCTTAGTAGTTGTGCAACGTTTCAACTGTTGAAGCAAAAGGTATTTAGATTATATTTCTTTATCAACTGGGATGTTCGAGTACAGTTTGTTTTTTTATCTGTTGTGCTGTGCCCACCACAGGTAAGGATACTCGTATCTGTTGTGCTGTGCCCACCACAGGTAAGGATACTCGTATCTGTTGTGCTGTGCCC